TATTCTTAATAAAGAATAGAATATTTTCTTCTTTCTTTTAGTATTTTTAGAATATTCTCTTGAATTCTCTAAGAATATAGTCTAACTGTATGATAAAATTGATGATCTACGTATGCCGGACGACGCCGGTCGATTGTCGCGTCAGTTTGCGCCAAATAGTCCGTAATTCCGTATACTTATACATTTTCTATCATTTTGTAGTTGTACAGAATACGTTATTATTGATATTTGTTGACCTATATATTATAAATAGTGCAGTAATAATTATACCAATACAATGGAATGAAGTGAAGTGACTCAAGGAAGAGGAGATTAACCGATTTGATGGAGATGTTTATAAGTAAGTTTCTGAAGAACTATTATATTTATTTATGCATGAATTACGTTTTTATATTCTTAAGTTTTTATATTTAAGATTTTCATGATCGGTATAAAAAACTCATTCCAGTAAGTTTGAATACTTCAAAATTATTTTTTTTCGTGTGTGGAAAATCATTTTCTTTGTCTCTAATTTTCCTTTGTTGTATATTGGAATGCATTGGAAACAGAACGAGAAGGCTAAGTGTAGTCAAGGCAATAAATTAATACGTGTCAATAACGATTTAACGGTTTTGTTTAATAGTATCAAAAAATAAATATACTCGTATAGGTTATTAGATTGCTAATCTGTAGCTTTCAAATGTGCTGTATAGGATATTCTTAATAAGAGTAATTCATCTTACTAATATTCTTAATATATTCTTATTATTCTTAATATATTCAGAATATATATTCAGAATCTGGTACTAATCTATTCTGCAACAGAATTCGCTCTTCAATAAATTAAGAAAATCCTTTTAGCGCTTATTTTAGAAGAGATTATTATAAAAATAAGTGGGAAATTCTTAAGTTGAGAATACAATTTTTTTCGGTGTATAATAATAAGATTCTTAGTGCACGATGCAATGAGTTCATTGTGATTGGTTGAAATAGAACCGAGCAATCGTCAATTGTAAATGTCAACTTGTAGTCTGATACGAGTTTAAGAACGAAAGAATTACTAGATGTAAACCAGTTGTGAGTATTTTGCACCTTTCTCGTGAATATTTATCCTTTTGTATGGTCCGTTCCTCGCGCATGTGTTGCGTATTATTATTTATACACTTATGCGGTTGTACGCTTAACGCTCTGCAGTTACTTGCGGTAAGCAAATGTTTGGTAACCGGTTAATCAAAAAGATGTAATGCTAAATCAAGGATTGAAAACTTGGGATAAAACACTCGTAAGAATGTATTATAATTTCAATTATTCCACGTGGAAGATTGAAAATAATTATGCGATGACAAAAAAGCTATCAGGATCATTAGAGGAATTTTATGAGACGTTATAAATGTAAGAAATATATCTTTCCTATCTTTTTTTATAAAATATATAGTATCTCTTATAATTTTTCATTTATGTCTTTAAATTTATGTTTTGAAATTATTTTTTAAAGTAAAACCTGTTTTACTTTTAACCTGTTTAAATTAAATATAAAGTCTGTTAATGTTTTAAATTAAACATCCTTGATTTTATTTATGTAAAATTTTGATATATCCACATGCCTTAATCGCACGAAGAATTAGGAAATATAAAAAATTGAGAAATTTATTTTTCTTAGCTGTTTATACCAAAAAGAGTCTTAATATAGCCAAGACCTTCACCTCATTAGCGTGAATTTTGTTTAATTCTCGCATATCATACTTGCGGGCAATTATAATTGTTTAGCAATAAACATCTACGTGCCAATTTTCATGGCGAGGCCAGCCATTACATAAATTTCACGCGACATTGTGTCAGAAAAGTCTCTCACATAATTAATTGTCATTAGATTAACATAAAACATATATTTAATTTTCTTATCAATTTAAGTAAATTCAATATTTCAAAAATTATTCAATATTTTTCATTATTTATTCATTTCTTCAATATTTAATTTCTTTTATTAATTTAGATAAATTTTTAGAAATTCAATATATAATATTAATAGCCATATAGACTCTTCACTTTAATACATTTATAGAATATATCGATTTTTTGCATAATTATCTACATTTAATAGTTATATAAATACATTAACAATTCTTATTGTTAGAACTTTATTAAATTCATAGAATGTTTACGTCCTTCGTACAATGATCGTCAATTGCGTTGTTTGTCTTCCTCACGTTATTTATTTTTCGAGTAGGGCTACTAGCCATACTCTTTTTTAAAAGTACCTATACATACTGTTTTTGAGGTCGTAAAGTCTTTATTTTGCAACTGCGTAAGCGTAGTTGCAAATCATTTACAACTACACTTATGTAATTGTAGAATAGGCTTTAAACTTCTGATCATTAAAATTTTATATTTGTAAAATTATATTAATAAGAATTTTGTCAATAAAATTATATTATAAAATTTTTATTTTACGAAATATCTACATTTAGCGCATAAAAAATTATACACCCTTCTTCTTCTCCTCGAAATGTTATCTTTTAAAGAATATATACTATACTACACTCTCTCTCTCTCTCTCTCTCTCTCTCTCTCTCTCTCTCTCTCTCTCTCTCTCTCTCT